CTTATCCAAAGGCTGAGTGACCTGATAGTTGATTACTTAGACATTGTCAGCAAGAGGGCAGATCCAGAGCAGGCCCCTTGACATGCAGCTTTCTTCTGCAGTACTTCGTTGCTTTTCTCCCAGCTGCTTGAAGTGAATGCTTGACTCTATTTAACAGCACAGGCAATTCTGAATGTATCCATGGATTTAATATATATCTTTGCTGCTAGCAAATAAAGCTACGTTTCTCGATGGCTTCTATTGTTGAATGGTTGGCAATGCAGAGTTTCTGCTTTACAATGACATCTTAATGCATTTTATTTCTGGGCATGTAGCATTAAGGCAAACCGATCAAAAAGTTGTTTTTATCAGAATCAGTCTTTAGTGACATGTCATAAAATAAACCAAAGTATCCATTTATGGCTATTCTGAAAGAAAAAATAAATTTTGAATTTCTTCAGCCTTTCCATTCCAGGGAAGCAGTCTCTACTTTTGGAAGCATTGCTTAGATTTGCACATAATTTTGTGAGCAATTTTGCATCACCAAGGAGTGACCTTGAGCACCAAAATACTGACTGTCCATCTGCTAGTAAACCTGAGTGCAGTAATTTTAAGGTAACCAACTTTTTTACAATGAAAAGGAGGACACAAATAAATTGAAGAAAAAAATATTGTAAATAAAAGAAACATTTTATTCATTGCAACAATAATACAGAATAACTATAATATGATAAATGCATAATAAAAACATTTGTAACAGTAACATTTTATATTGTAATTATGCTTACATGCCACACCCCCACCTGCAGCCACCCCGCCAGCACTGCCGCCCCGCCGTGTAGAGCGGGCCCTGCGAATCCTAAAGCACCAGCTGCGCCAGCTCCAGCCCCGGGGGGGCAGCCCGCCGTCAACACACCCTGCCTGCAGTCGCCCCGCCTGCAGTTGCCCCACCAGCACCACCACCCACCATGCACAGCCCCGTGTAGAGCAGGCCCCGTGGCTCCCACAGCATGGGGGGCAGCCGGCCACCGCTGCCCCTCACACCCCCATCCGCAACAGCCCTGCCGCCCCTGCCTCTTGCGCCCGCAGCCATTATTGCCCTAGCAGGGCCGAAGATCAAGAGAAAGTTACCATGGCGTCGCCACTCCAGTCTCCTCCAGGTATCTTCGGGACTAACTAGGAGATGGTGCAGTTGGGTAGCAGGGAGGGGTGCAAAGTTCCTGCCAATTTGCCTTCGCTCCAGACAACTTATATGTGCAAAGTTTGCCGGTCGGGTGTTTTGGTGCGCTCAGCAGCAATTCCTATTGGCTTTCAAAAGCCAATAGGGGGAGTAGCACAGCTCATGCAAAAGTTGAAAAAAAAACCATCAAAAAAGATGCCGGAATGCCATTCTGAGAGTTCTATGAGAAAAAAAAAAGCCCTGCAGATTAGTCTTCAAATATCAAAAAGGAGGACATGTAGGAGGACACTTTTTGAGGGAGGATAGAACTCACAAAAGGAAGACTGTCCTCCCTAAAGGAGGATGGTTGGTCACCTTAGTAATTTTTCAGTTCCACCCTGAGATTTTTGTTCTTTGTGGAAAGCCTTTGTGTTTTCTGCTTTACCTCTGTCAGTTTGTCTTCATGGAAGACGATCTCTTATCAAAAATAGTCCATCAAATGAGATGCGTCTAATTTGAATTATGAAATTAGAAAAAAAAACCTATATCGAAAGTGAAAGACAAAAATGTGTATATTCTAAGTTTCGACTCAGGCAATGAGTGTCAGAAGATAGGTTTTTAACTAATATAAGTCACTTTTTGAGGATTCAGCCAGTGGCTGCTCCTAGATGAAAACAACCTAATGACATATCATCAAAATCATATTCAGGTAAGGTTCTCTCAGATTAAATACATTCTAGTGAACTTATACATTATGACAAAACATGGTTGCTATAACCATGATTTGTTAAATAAGCCAAAAATATTGGGTTCATATATGGATTGGGTTCATAAGTTATGGTAATTGTTATGCATGAACCAGGCCACTGTAGCTTGATAGATAGATAGATAGATAGATAGATAGATAGATAGATAGATAGATAGATAGATAGATAGATAGAGTAATGCCTTCCAGTCCCAACTATCAGCACTTAGAATCCACCCCATATCAATGTTTGAGGAGAAACAATACTAATATTATTTGTTTGCTTGCTTATTTATTTATCTATCTTGCAAGAAAATCTTTAAACAGATACATTAAACTCCTCTGAGAATGTCATCACATCACCGCCATGCCTAAGAGAAAGATATATCATCTTAATTGAAAGATGTTGCATGCCTATGGTTTGCAACCCAACTGCTATCTCCATATTTCCTGTTTTGTCCAATTTCAGACCACTCTTCCCAACATCATTCTAAATAAGAGGATGAGGAGATTGAGAGTAGGTTTGGGGTAATGTTTAAAGATATTTGGCTAGAAACAAGGAGAACTGAGTTCTAGTTCTACCTCAAACACAAAACTAGCTGGATTACTTCAGGCCATTTAACTACCACTAGACTAGGCAGTTGAAAAAAAAATCATTGAGAAAAATGCTGGTAAGCCTATCTTGTCCAAGGTGAAGCTCACACAAGCACACACATTGAGGTGGTTAAAAACCTTACTGATAAGGGAAATGAGAGTACAAACACATATGCACACACAGTATAGAAACAAGTCCCCCAAAATTCTGCAAGCTTGCCTTAAAAGAGTTCCACATCCAAAACAGAGTACAAGAGTGTTCAAGTGCAGCCCGGGGGTCCAAACATTGTAGAAGAATTGTCAGCCAGTCCAGGTTCAGGCTCAAAGTCATGATGTATCTGAAGCGGGATGAGAGGGAAGAAAGGAGAGGAGAGAGAAAAGAGTAAAGGAGGGGAGAAGGAAATAGGAAGGTTGGAGAAGAAGAGGAGAAGTGGGGAGAAAGGGGAGGAGAGTGGTGAAAGAAAGAGAAGAAGAGAGGAAGAAGAGAAGAAAGGGAGAAAGAAAGGGAGAAAGAATATAGAGAAGAAGGAGTGTAGATACAGTGAAAGGGGAAATGGGCGAGCAACACCAAAAGTCATGTGTATGTATTTATTTCATTTTATTAAAAGTATCTTATATATGAATGTAAAAAGAATGTATGTTAACATCTGATAAATATCACGGTATATGTATGGGGGAGAGTTTGGAAAAATAAAAAATTATTAAAAGGAAGAAATATGGACTGTAGGTAAACAAATGTTTCTTGCCAATGGAGAAGCTTGACCGTGCCGTTCTTAAATAGAAGCAGCCTTGGTGTTAATAATAATAATAATAATAATAATAATAATAATAATAATAATAATAACAACAACAACAACAACAACAACCTTGGAGGTCATCTAGTCCAACCCCCTGCTCAGGTAGGAAACCCTATACCATTTCGGACAAATGGCTGTCCAGTCTCTTCTTAAAAACTTCCAGTGTTGGAGTATTCACCTCTTCTGGAGGCAGGTTGTTCCACTGGTTAATTGTTCTAACTGTCAGGAAATTTCTCTTTAGTTCTAGGTTGCTTCTCTCTTTTTTTCTCATAGAACGCCCAGAAAGGAGTTCCGGCACCTTTTTTGGATGGAACCTTGTAGGGTAGGCAAGGCAGGTTGTATGACATGTGTGAGTTCCGGCACCTTTTTTTTTTTTTTTTTACAAAAAAAGCACTGGTGGTGACCAAAACTGGATGCAGTATTCCAAGTGTGGTCTTACCAAGGCATTGTTCCTCATTTGGAAGCGTGGTTTGAAAAAGGTCTCCTTACCGGATATAAATTGGTTGAAGTTTTAAAAGTGAAAGGGAAATACAAACAATGAACCAAGGGAAGGATCTGGAAAATGTTTTCTTATCAAATCTACGAAAATTAAATGCTTAAAGAAATCTGTGCAATGGGATAAAGAATTGCAGAGAAATCAAATCCTACAACATTATTTGATTGAATTAAAACTTAAGGCAGGTGTAAACGAAGAAACACAAAGTTGGTTTATGTGATCAAGGTTAAAATAAGACCTTTTTTTCAATGTTCTAACCCTTCTTTATGGACTTTTGCTGACACCAGGATTTATATTTTAGAGATTTGCTTATAGATAAGGAATGGGATATGAGATGAAGAGGTATTTAACCTCACAGGAGGATAAAGAATTATTAAATTGGTTTATAATTGTTGGGAAGGTTGGAAATTAATTATTTATATGTTTCTTTTCTTTATTCTCATTTCTTTTTCTTCTCTTTTTCTTCTTTCTTTCCATTCTCTTCTTTTTCTCTAAGTTTAGTTTGTATTAGTTTTTACTATTGTAATTAAAATCTTAGTAAAATTATCTTATTAAGAAAAAGAAAGCAAAGCAAGTTACTGAATGGATGAGAGTCCCGAATCATGAATAACTGAAGTCTAACAAAATTGTTGTTCCAATCTGATTTTCTTTGAGCCCTTTCCCTATGAGAGTGGATGACTTCTATAAATTTAGGATGTGAATCACACTTTGTTTATTCCTTCATTTTATTCTGCATGTGCTATTTTATCTTTGGAGCGCCCATATTTAAAATAACATAAAAGTTCAATCAGTTTCCCTGGCTTTGAAGAAAATCTTGAATGGTATGAATATGACCTTGAGAAAAGATAAAATTCATTTTCTTATTATCTTTCAGATAATTCACTAATGTCTATCTTCTTCCTACCAAAAGCATAGCCTTGCTGCAGTGGGAAATGTTTACAAATGTTCTTTTCCTACATTAAAATTTATTCTCTCAGGGTGATACAGACAATGCATTCTGGAACTCATTTATATTTTTTTCTAATTAACATTCAATCCCGAAATATGTTATCTTTGCATGACTGTGCAATTATTAAGGGGAAAAATATCATCCATGAAGGTAATTATTTTTCAGTTTTCCTCATCTTTTTGTACTTTTTAAATAGTAGCTCAAGTTTTCTAACAAAAAAAAAAAGGCTGTATCATCTGTCTTTTCCCCCTTCCTTCTTTTTTCCTTTTTTTTTCCCCCAGGCTATGATTGAAGAAGCTATCACAAGGGCAGAATATTTTTCAGTGATGTATACTCCTTTTGCCATAAAAATAAGGGCTGAAAACACAGACAAGCTAAAGGAAGTTTTTATCAGAAAGCATCCTGACTATGTGGAATACATATATACAGGTGACAACATTGCAGAGTCTTTCAAAATTAAGCATGCTACCATTGATGGATGGGTTTGGGTGAGGCTGTCAAAAAAATAGTGGACTATTATCAGCTCTGGCCTAGATGACCTTTGACTCCACACAACCCCAGTCAGCTTCTGCTCACATCTTGTTTGCAGCCCACAAGTGGTTTCCCCTAACCTACTTCAGTACAGGTAGTCCTCGACTTATGTCCACAACTGAGTCCCAAAAATGTTGTTCAGCAAGAAAATTGTTCAATGAGATTTTCCCCTTTTGACGACCTCCCCTGCCACCGTTGTTAAGTGAATCACTGCAGTGATTAAGTTAGTAACCCGGTTGTTAAGTGAATCCAGCTTGCCCATTGACTTTGCTTGTCAGAAGGTCACCAAAGGTGATCACGTGACCCCGGAACACTGCCACCGTCATAAATATGAGCCAGTTGCCAAGCGGCTGAATTTTGATCACATAACTTGGGGATGCTGCAACGGTGTGAAAAACGGTCAAAAGTCGCTTTTTTCAATGCTGCTGTAACTTCGCACAGTTGCTAAATGAATGGTTGTAAGTCGAGGATTATCTGTAGTGGACAGGTACACAACATTTCAAAAAAGCTTTTCTTGCAAAAGAAAAAAAAAAGAAGCAGGATTTTCCTAGGTTTCTCTACATGTTAATCCCTTATAGGCCCCACAAAGCAAGATAAACTACTGCTGTATGAATATGAGGACTGTTGAATATTCATAGAAGGAAGAACATGTAGATCAGGGTTCCCCAACCTATGGACTGTGGCTTACTGGCCACTGGGCCACGAGATAGGCTGGCCACTCGCGCTAGCACCCATGGCCCGTTTGCACATGTGGCAGCAGCTAGTGCTTGCACAAATGGGGCCGCTAGCACGTACAGGGGTTGTGTGGCCCATTTGCATATGTGTGCGGGTGCTAGCAGCGGTGAAGGCTAGTGCCTACATGCATGTGCAAACAGGGCTGCTAGCGCCATGCAGGTGCCCGCAGCCCTGTTCACACGCGGCTCCATTTGCATGCGCATGCACACGTACACACAAATTCCCCAGCTGCTCCCTTTCTCTCTGGGCCACCAGCATGAAAAGGTTGGTGACCTCTGATGTAGATTACATAATACTCACTCAATGACAGGGCAGCCATCTGAAGACTACAGCCATCAAAAAAGAAGCAGCTCAGGATTTTCAGCCCAAAAAGAGAGAAGGTTTCTTGCGCTGAAAAATAAAATTCCTCACTCCTTCCTTTCAAGAAAAATAATTTAATTTGTTACAATGCATGCTTGTCTTCTGTGATGCGTACGGATGAGTCGGTTCTGATTAAAATTCTTGTGCAAATTTTGTAAATTGGAATAACAAGTATCAACGGCTGTCTCAGTGGTAGTGTAGATGTTGTCCCTTCCCTGTCTTACATTTCAGACTCTCACGGATTGCACAGTTTGCCCCAAACTGCTGACTGGTCTTGTCCATCTTCTCAGTCCTATTTGCTGACCCTGGGCCTGAAAAACAAAGAAGTTGGAAAATTTTTAGAAAAAATGTCTTGTAGAAAACTGCCAACATTTTCAGGTGGTAAAATATCTCTCTCTCTCTCTCTCTCTCTCTGTGTCTCTCTGTGTGTGTCTCTCCCTCTCCTTCCATCCCTCTCCCTCCCCCTCCCTCTCTCTCTCTCCCTCCCTCCCTCTTTCTCCCTCCCTCCTCACCTTTTCTTTCTCCTCTCCCTCCCTCTCTCCCTCCCTCCTTCCCTCACCCTCTCCCTCTCTCCCTCTCTCCCTCCCTCTCTTCCCCTCCCTCTCTCTCTCTCTCTGATTTCTACTTAAGACTTCTCAATCTCAGCAATTTTAAGAAATGTTTTTTAAGATTTTAAGATACTGGGGAATTCTGGGAGTTTAAGTTTATACATCAAAAAGTTCTTGAGGCTGAAAAGCACTGCCTTAAGGCTAAATCACCATCAGTTTCATGTATTCTCCCTTATGTGCATCTCCAAAGTTAGGAAAAACAATTTGGTGAAGAAAATTTGAACAGGTCAGTTCTTGCTGATACAGAGTTCTGCACAATTTTCCAAAGCAGCAAAACATGTGCATGGATATACACACACAAACACACACACAAACACACACAGGCATATTTTGAATGTTTCTAGTGGTTCCTTAACTCTCCTATCCTCATGATATAAATATGAATATAAATGTATGGGCATATTTGAGTAGGGTCATGTTTACTGCTTTAATTTATTTGGAAGCAGAATAATTGATACCAAATATGCAACAACCCAGTTCTGCTTACACATTTTTCTCTCACCTTCATGATCTAATGGTTAGAAGTCATTTTCCTTTGGGGTGGGGAATAACCATCAAACCATTTGTGATCATCTGAGAACTGTCTCTCACCTACGCATAGCAAATCATAATAACACTTTTAAATATATATATTCAGTGTAACTTTTTTTTTTTTTTGCCTTCTCGCCAGAGCACAAAGCTCCTTTCAGCCCTATCACAAAAGATGAGGCTCAGAGACACCTAGAGACCATTGGAAAAAGGATCTTACCAATAATGGATTTTATTAGAGGCACCAAATTAACGGTAAGACTATGTTTCAAACATCTTATCCAGTTAATGAGGGAGGAGAGGAAAAGAACTACTTAGCTTAAATCTGCAAGTCAGCTATGTCAAAGTATCTAAAGACGTAGCCCATTTGATAATAGTTAGTATCCTTAGAATTGAATTTCCATATTTCAACTTAAATGGGTTAGTGAATTGGATTTTAAGAGCAAGTAGGCTTAAGGGGAAGTAAATCTTCAGGTTTATACCTTAAAAGGAAGTAAAGTTTTGGCCTGATGTCTTCCAAGTGTATGATGAACTAGTTTATCCCTTCCTTACATAAATCTCTTGTACCACTTTTGCAATTTAGGGAGTTTTCAGATTTCAGAAAAGGCAATTATAGCTGCAACTTTCATCCAAATCTGCTAGAAAATATTTTAAAAGTTTAAAGAATTTTTTTTAAAGGAATAAGTAAGACTATCCTATTTACTGAAACCTGTTAAGGGTTCTCCACTCAGAGGAGACTGCTGTTTATGCATGTTCTGTCCAATCCCATCAAAAGAATTGGAAGGGATATGTGAAAAGCATGTGGCTGTTTTATGATTTCCCCAAGTTTCTGATGAAAAGAAACTACTAATTTTTCAAAAGCAAGAAGACCACAAAAAAATCTAGACTGAGGCCCTTTTCAAAGGGTTCAAAGTGAAGATTTGCTTTGGTTCACAATCACATTATCATTTAAGACCTTATTCTTACACCTGCCTATGAGAAACTCAGGGGCATTTCTTAGCAGAACTTAGTTACAATTATGTCCTTATGTTCTAGCATCCCAGCCTACTGAATTAATTTACTAATGTTTGTACACACCCAGAAAATAGGTCAATCTAGGAACTAAATCAAGTGGGTTGCTTGAGGCTGCCGTTGTGGAAGAGATTTACTACATTTTTTTTAAAAAAAAATAATAACTGACAATTTTGCCCATCAACGTTTCATCAATGAGTCTTTGACCACATGGTACCCCCCAGATGCATATGGCAACATAGTCTTTGGCTATGGTAGCTGCCCTCAAAGCACAGCTAAAATAAGTTGGAGAAAGCTGGCCTAAACTTTGGAGTAACTCTTTTGAGTCCTTGGTTAATTGATGGGAACCAACCAATAAAAAGTCCCACAAGAAGGTCCCTACACCAAGGGAGATAAAATAGCAATAGCAACAGCATGTAGACTTATATACCACTTCACAGTGCTTTACAGCCCTCTCTAAGCAGTTTACAGAGTTGGCATATTGCCCCCCCCCCAACAATCTGGGTCCTCATTTTACCGACCTCGGAAGAATGGAAGGCTGAGTCAACCTTGAGCCCCATCAGGACTGAACTCCAGATTGTGGGCTGACTTTGCATGCAATACAGACAGTCCTCAACCTATGACCACAACTGAGCCCCAAATCTATGTTGCTAAGTGAGAAATTTATTAAGTGAGTTTTCTCCCCTTTTGTGATTTTTCTCGTCACATTTCTTAAGTGAATCACTGCAGTTCTTAAATTCGTAACAAGGTTGTTAAGTGAACCTGGTTTCTCTAGTGACTTTGCTTGTCAGAAGGTTGCAAAAGGGGATCACATCACTCCAGGACACTGCAACCATCACAAATATATTGTCAGGTGATCCAAATGTAAATCATATGACCATGAGGATGCTGCAACCATCATAAGTGTGAAAAATGGTCATAAGTCACTTTCTCCAGTGCCTTTGTAACTTTGAACAGTCACTAAATCAGTGGTTCTCAACCTGTGGGTTGGGACCCCATTTGGGGTCGAACGACCATTTCACGGGGGTCGCCAAACAATGCAGTCTGCCATTTTTTCCCCCTTTTCCTTAGCTGTGCTACTCCATTTTATTCTATCTATCTATCTATCTATCTATTTATTTATTTATGAGACTTATATACCGCTTTAAGTGCAAGCACTCTCTAAGCGGTGTACACCAGTAAGCAATGTATATATATATATTTACATTGCCCCCAACAATCTGGGTCCTCATTTTACCTCCCTCGGAAGGATGGAAGGCTGAGTCAACCTTGAGCCAGTGAGATTTGAACTGCTGACCTGCTGAACACAGTCAGCTAAAGTGGCCTGCAGTACAGCACTCTAACTGCTGCACCACCTCGGCTCTTTAAAAGCCAATAGAGTCTAATTCTATTGTCTTTCAAAAGCCAATAGGAATTGTCCAGGCTGTCTCTGCCCTGCTGAGCCCACCAAAAGTCCCATTCTGCAAACGGTGCTGCACCAGTTGAGTAGTCCTCAATTTACGACCAGTTGAGTAGTCTTTGACTTATGACCGGTTGGGGGTCGCGGCATTAAAAAGGTTGAGAACCACTGCACTAAATGAACTATTGTAAGTCGAGGACTACCTGTGCTGCAATTTAACCACTGCACCACTAGGGCTCATATGAAGATCATATGATCAAATTTCCTTTCCCTGGATTATACCCAGATTATTTCTGCTTGACCAAAAAGGTCTTCTGCTTTTGATTACAGCTTAGTTTTGGCTTTTAGATTTTTGAGGGGTGGGCGGGGGCGGGCAGAGGGAGTTATTTTGAGGTTGTTGTTTTTTTTTCTCAACTGGGCCTGGCTGGCAAGCCTTTTCTGTTTGCTGACTTCATTCCTTTTAAAAGCCTGTTTTCAAATGTCTTGTGCCAACCCTGTTCCTCAGCCCTCATCCCATTTGTCAAGTCTTTTCTCCTGTTAGATCATTCAGTTCAGGGTGCCTGAAGCCTTCATTTTCAGCTTCCTCTTTACTTAACCTTTGCAGGACCAGGACAAGGTGTTTTTAGCTTCTCCTTGGCCACTTTATTATTTTCTTTACTGCTTCTTAGTTGTCTCTTGAACTCCACCATCACTCAGGTAATTTTCATCATGCGCGCCATATCCCCATGGGCTCTTATTGCTGCCGGAGGCAGTTATTTACACTCTCTTTTGGCATTTTTTTCATTACCGCTGAAATACAGCCCCTGACAGCATTCAGCCTGCTATAATCCCCTCCTTCCCCCTCCCCTCTTAAATATGAGAATGAGGCTGGAGGATTATTTCTTCCACCATGGGCTTAGGGGAAATTGCCTTGTTTATTCAGCAGTAGCCAGATTAGCTCTTCAATTTGATTTTTTTTTTTTTAGCCCAAATGTATGGATGTGCAGGCAAAGGAAACCAGAATGCCCTCCATTCAGTAAGTGTGCAGCAAAGATTTATTATAGCTTTCATCCCGATCTGCTCATTTACCACCTACAAGGCACTTGGGTCCCAGCCAGTCCATAAGAAATAATGTATTCCCAACTGCAGGTTGATATGATGTAGTCCTGACTTGTATCATGCTCCTGGGATTCAAGCTAGACAAGATGATTCGCAGCTGCATCACTCATCTCTTTAAATGCTAATAAAACTGAGGTGGGGGACACTGATTCATCCTGGAACCACAGTTGGGGAAAGTCCTGTATCATTTCCCCAACGAGAATCTCCTATCAACCTGATTGCAACAGCCCCTCCCCATGTTGTAATGACAGGACAATTACATTAGAAAGTATGTCTATAACAGAATAGCACAGTTGGAAGGGACCTTGGAGGTCTTCTAGTCCAACCCCCTGCTCAAGCAAGAAACCCTATACCAGTGATGGTGAACCTTTTAGAGACCGAGTGCCCCAAAACTGGCCCTGCCCCCTGCTCCACCCCTGCCCCGCCCCCGCCCAGTCTGCCCACAGAGCCACTTACCACCTCCAGGGCCCACCGCAGATCGCCCAGGCAGCCCAGCAGCCCTACGGCGGCCATGCCCTCTGCCCACGCCCCACAGCATCAACTGTTTGCGATGGGGTGTGAGGGCAAAGTCTTGTCTATGCTGCCTGGCTGCCATGTCCTTGGCTACGCTGCTCTGTGTGGGCCACGCTCAGGGATGATTCCTCCAGGGGGGCTGCTGGTGAGGAGGGATCGCAGGGGGAGGCAAGGCTGGGGCAATGGCACATGTGCCCACAGAGAGGGCTCTGACTGCCACCTCTGGCACCCGTGCCATAGGTTTGCCACCACTGCCCTATACCATTTCAGACAAATGGTTGTCCAATCTCTTCTTAGAAACCTCCAGTGTTGGAGCATACACAATTTCTGGAGTCAAGACATTCCGCTGATTAATTCAGCGATCCCCAACCTTTCTGGCTCTGTGGACCAGTGGGGGAGGGGGAGAGAGAGGGAATGGTTACACATGAGTGGTGGGTGAGCTCTCATGCAACTCCATTTTAACGAGTGTGGGCACATACACCTGCCATTCACATAAATGGAACTGTATGCGTGCATGTGCTTCTGCAGACTGGTTCCAAATGGGTTGCAGCCTGTTAGTGGCCTAGGGCCTGGGGGTGGGGAGACCCCTGGATTAATTGTTCTGTCAGGAAATTTCTCCTTAGTTCTCTTTCCTTGATGAGTTTCCATCCATTGCTTCTTGTTCTGCCCTCATATACTTTGGAGAATTGTTTGACCCCTTCTTCTTTGTGGCAGCCCCTCAAATATTGGAACACTGCTATATCACCTCTAGTCCTTTCTTTTCATTAGACTAGACCTACCCAATTCTTGCAACTGTTCTTCATATGTTTTAGCCTTCAGTTCCCTAATCATCTTGGTTGCTCTTTTCTGCACTCTTTCTAGAGTCTCAACCTCTTTTTTATATTGTGGTGACCAAAACTGGATGCAATATTCCAAGTGTGGTCTTAATGACATAGTGATATAATTGAGTGATATAATTGATATATAAGTGATATAATTGATCCATTTGCATGCTAATGCCATGTACAATATGCATCATGATGATATCATGTTCTTATACATGCTGGTGTTAAAAAAAAAAAGCTTTTATGGTGCTTGAGAGCCAAACAAGCTTCATTTAGAAAAAGCTGGAATGAAAAGAAGTGTTTTGCCACAATCTTGACACATCTGTGCTAAGGAGCGTGATGGATGCAGCACCCTATTTCTTCCTGGACTATTTATTTAAACCAGGGATATGTCAAGGATTGCAATTCAC